GTTACGAGCCAGCTTCAGATACCCCACCGCTAGTTGGCGCAGCGAACGTCACAGTGAACGCCACAACATCAGCCCAGCATCATGTGTCTCACTCGTTCACTTTTGATTTGACATACGAGTATAAGAGCTCCGTCACGGAACGAATTAAACTTGTAAGTCAAGGCCCCACTGTACTGTCCTCCGTGATTTTGAATGTTATTACTTTAAATCTATACATCAATTTGAGGAGAATTCACTACAACAGTCTTTCCATCAATGAACATCTTATCTATCTAAGTTTTTAATTTATCTCAAACTCTTAGAGTTGTAAGAATTATTCTTAGGTGCTTTTAAAATTTCTATCTTTTAAAAATATATATATATTAATTGATTTCAGAGAGGAAGGGAGAGGGAGAGAGGGATAGGAACATCAATGATGAGAGTGAATCACTGATCGGCTGCCTCCTGCATGCCCCATACTGGGGATCGAGCCCACAACCTGGGCATGTGCCCTGACTGGGAATCGAACCATGACCTCCAGGTTCATAGGTCAATGCTCAACCACTGAGCCACGCCAGCCGGGCAGATTTTACTTCTTAATAGTGATAATGGCAGCCACAAATGGTGTATGTTCAGTGTGCCAAGAGAAAATAATCATCAACCTAGCATTGTATACCCAATGAAACTATCTGTCAAGAGCTAGGGCAGCCCTGGCTGGGTAGCTGTTAGTTAGAGCATTGTCCCATATGCCTGGGTTGCTGGTGCATCCCCAGTCGGTGCACATACATGAAGCAACCAATTAATGCATAAAGAAGTGGAACAACAAATAGATGTCTCTCTCTTCCTCTAAAACCAATAAAGGAGGGGAAAAAAGAACTTAAACCAATAGTTGAGAATATCCCTACAAGAAAAACAGCATAAGCAAATGGATTTACAAGTAAGGACAATAAAACATTCAAGAAACAGATAATTCCAATGTTGCACAATTTCTTCCTCAATATATTAAGTGTGGGAAAACTCCTTAATTTATTTGATGAAGTTAGCATAATTTGAACACCAGACTTGGACAAGACAGTACATAAACAAGGAAAATCATAGACCAATATAATTTATAACTGAGATGCAAAAATTTATACATAAAATATTAATTAAAATATTAATAAAATGCCACAATCTAAAAAATACCATGAACAAGCTGAGTTTATCTCAGGAACAGAAATAAAATTTATTAATAAATTAGAAAAGAGCCCTAGCTGGTTGGGCTCAGTGGATAAAGTGTCAGCCTGCGGACTGAAGGGTCCCTGGTTTGATTCTGGTCAAGGGCACATGCCCGGGTTGTGGGCTCAGTCCCCAGTGGGGGGCATGCAGGAGGCAGCCAATCAATGATTCTCTCTCATCATTGATGTTTCAGTCTCTCTCCCTCTCCCTTCCTCTCTGAAATCAATAAAAATATATCTTAAAAAAAGAAAAGAAAATTTATGTCATTAGGCATTTTAAATTGAGACAAATTATACGCTTATCTCAATAGATACAGAAAAGTGTATCATGTATACAGCATAAGGAGTCAAGGACAGATGATGGAACAGTGAGGAGACTGCAATTATCCAGGCAGGAGCTGGTGGTGTCTGTACCAAGAAATCAATAAAAATATATTTTAAAAAAAGAAAAAAAATTATGTCATTGGGCATTTTAAATTAAGTGAGACAAAATTATACGGTTATCTCAATAGATACAGAAAAGTGTATGATAAACATTTATAATAAAAATCTGTGAGTGAACGAGGAATTGAAAGGGGCTTTCTTTACTTAATATGCTGCATTTTCAAAAAACATACAGCAGACAACTTACATAATGGTGAATTGTTGAAATCATTTGTTTGGAAATGCCTTCAGGTATACAGCATAAGGAGTCAAGGACAGACGCTGGAACAGTGAGGAGACTGCAATTATCCAGGCAGGAATTGGTGGTGTCTGGACCAGGGTGAGCGCTAGCTGTGGAGGAGGGGAATGTGAAGCGGTTGATGCTAGCTAGATTTTGAAAGCAAGGCAGCCAGGATTTGCCGATAAATCAGATGTAGGGAGTGAGAGGCAGTGAGAGCTCAAGGATCATCCCTAAGTTTATATCGGAGCTCCTGGAAGGTTTGATCTGCTATTACTTGAGAAGTGGAAGGTGGAAGGGGATAGGCAAGCTTGGATTGGGCGACAATCAGGAGCCCTGCTTTGTTTGTTTATCTATTTATTAATTACTAGGGCCTGATGCATGAAATTCGTGTAAGAGTAGGCCTTCCTTCCCCCGGCTGCCGGCACTGCAGCCAGCTGGTTGGTGGCCTGGGCCTCCCTCTGTGGGGCGATCATGGGGCGATGGCTGGGGCCTCCAACCAATCACAACGCATCCGCCTGGCTGGGCTGGCATTAGTGGGTGTCATAGCGTGGTCCCAGATGATCTTCCGATGGTCGTTCCGCTGCTGGGCTGTTTGGTCGATTTGCATATTACGCTTTTATTATATAGGATTATTTTTAGGAGCCCTGCTTTGGACAGGTAGAGTTTGGATGCCTATAGACACCCAATGGAGATGTCAAGGAGGCATCCGTTAAGAGGAGATGCGCATTCAGGTGATAGGAATAAAAACTGGGGCATTGTCAGTGCATAGAGGTTTTAAAAAGCATATGAGTTACAGGCCATGCAACATAGAGTGTTGGGGTGAAGGGCTCTTACATTGGGGAGTTAGGAGCAACAGACTGAAAATATGGAAAATCAGTTGCTGACAATGGCAAAAGCAAAGTGGGCCTCTTGGGTGGGTGTTTCCCAGATGTGGCCTCAGTGAGGACTCTTCACCACCTGAGGAACTAGCATCATTAGCCAAGGCTGCTAGCAGTGGTTCTCAACCTTGGCTGCACATTAGAATCACCTGGGAATCTTTTTAAAATCCTGATTTCTGGGCCTCGTCCTCCAGAAATTCTGTTTCTTTGTTACTAATGTTGTGGCCTCACCCCATAACAAAGAAACAGAATTTCCGGAGGATGAGGCCCAGAAATCAGGATTTTAAAAAGATTCCCAGGTGATTCTAATGTGCAGCCAAGGTTGAGAACCACTGTGCTAGAGGATTGGATTCTTGCTCAGATCAGCCGTTAGGTTGGCGATCTTGCAAGAGGGAATCTGGTGTAATTGCGCCCTCTGCTGGCCAGGACAGATATCAGCCCCATTTCCAAAAACAATAATGGTCGTTATTATATGCAGTATTTTATTTTTTTTTTAAATAAATTTTTATTGGTTTTTTTCAGAGAGAGAGAGGAAGGGAGAGGGAGACAGAAATAGAAACATCAATCTGTTGCCTCCTGCACATCCCCCCGCCCCCCACTGGGGATCGAGGTCCAAACCCGGGCATGTGCCCTGATGGGGGGTTGAACCAGTGACCTCTTGGTGCATGGGTGACGCTCAACCACTGAGCACACCAGCCAGGCTACAGCATTTTATATGCTACTAGAAATCGTGCACAGCTGGGGTCCTTCAGGGTGGCCTTGGGGATTGGGCCCCAGCTCCGCCTGGAGCCTTGCAGCCCCACCTGGCATTGGGATCAGGGAGTGACCTGGCGCCACCCCCTCACCTGCTCCACCATCCCGCCAAAGAGCTTGGGAGCAGGGCAGGAACGCCCCTGCCCCCGCCCTCTGCAGGGCGATCTGGGTCTCCACTGGCACCTGCTGCCAGCGCCCCCTGGTGGTCAGCGCACATCATAGTGAGTGGTTGAATTCCTGGTCGAACAACTTGTATATTAGGCTTTTATTATATAGGATTATTATTAGAACACAGCCAGTGCTTAATAAATCCGTGACCCAGCCTCTTTTATCCCTGTGCAGCATGGAGGCTGGCACTAATGGGGATGTATACGTGGGTGTACATCGAATGAATGAATGAATGATGTGGCCAGATTCTGCATCTCAGGTTCCCCTTCTGTAAATCTGGGATTCCTTCTTTCATTGAATAAACCAGTGATGGCGAACCTATGACACGCATGTCAGAGGTGACACGCGAACTCATTTTTTTGGTTGATTTTTCTTTGTTAAATGGCATTTAAATATATAAAATAAATATCAAAAATATAAGTCTTTGTTTTACTATGGTTGCAAATATAAAAAAATTTCTATATGTGACACGGCACCAGAGTTAAGTTAGGGTTTTTCAAAATGCTGACACGCCAAGCTCAAAAGGTTCGCCATCACTGGAATAAACTAATGTTGATTTTATTGATTGAGAGAGAGAAACATTGATGATCGATTGCTTCCCCAGGGGATTGAACCCGCAACCTAGGTATGTGCCCTGACCGAGAATGGAACCCGCAACCCTTTGGTGGAAGGGAGGACGCTCCAACTAATTGACCAGCCGGCCAGGGCACAAGACAGCAAAGCGCTGCTGTTGGAGCGAACCTCACGCCCCGAGAGGACCCGTGGGCAGGGTGTCCGTTGCCATGGTACCCTTGACGCTCTCCCAGGGCTTCCGCGAGCCTTACGCCTCACGTGACGCCGCCCAATATGGCGCGGCCCAGGGTGTTTCACTGCCCACGTGGTTCTGGCAGGCAAGATGGCGGCGGCGTCCAACGCGACTTCCCTGGAGTCAGCTCCCCCGTGGGCACGCAGGCCACCATGAAGGGCATCACTGCGGAGCAGCTGGACGCGCTGGGCTGCCGGATCTGCCTGGGCAACACCTACCATCTGGGTCTGAGGCCGGTGGGTGGGCTGTGCCAGTGCGGGTGGTGGCGGAGCTTGGGGAGCCCTGGGGTGCCCTCTGAGTACGGGTATGCCTCCAAGTCAACCGACACACGCCCATGAAGCGTCTCGGAGGCCCAGGCCTG